ATAGAAAAGAAAGACTCTAAGCCACGCCTGATTCGTTAGGCGTTGTTGCTGCAAGAGTTCGATCTTGAAATACGTGACCGCAAGGGCACTGAGAATCAAGTCGCTGATCACCTATCACGACTTGAGGGAGCTGAAAATGCAATTGAAGTTGAGGAAATTCTGGAAACTTTTCCGGACGAGCAACTGCTCGCCACAACTCATCAGGAAGCGCCATGGTATGCAGACTTGGCCAATTACCTGGCCAGTGGTATAGTTCCTCACGACCTTTCATCGGTCCAGAGGAAACGATTTTTTTGTGAAAGCCATTTGTACTATTGGGATTAGCCCTATCTCTTTCTAATATGCCTGGATAACATGATCCGGAGATGCGTCTCCGAGATAGAACAATCTTCTATTTTGCAGGCTTGTCATGCATCGACTTATGGTAGACACTTTGGAGGGATCAGGACAGCAGCAAAGGTGCTAGAAGCCGGATTTTTCTGGCTGACTGTATTTAAAGATGCTCACTCATGGGTGAAGGGTTGTAATGAATGTCAACGCACCGAGAACATTTCCCGGTGCCACGATATGCCCATGAACCCAATTCAGGAGATAGAAGTGTTCGACGTCTGGGGGATTGATTTCATGGGTCCCTTCGTCAGCTCCTATGGAAATAAGTACATCCTTGTTGCTGTAGACTATGTGTCCAAGTGGGTGAAAGCTGTAGCGTTGCCCACCAATGATGCGAAAGTGGTGGTGGGGTTTCTAAAGAAGAACATATTCACCCGCTTTGGGACACCACGTGCGATTATCAGCGACGGAGGCACTCACTTCTGCAATAGAGCCTTCGAGAAGTTGCTTATAAAATACGATGTGCGCCACAAGGTGGCTACTCCATACCACCCGCAGACTAGTGGACAGGTTGAGGTATCCAACAGGGAAATCAAGAGTGTGTTAATGAAAATTGTGAACGCCACAAGAACTGATTGGGAAAGGAAGCTAGATGATGCACTCTGGGCCTACAGAACAGCTTTCAAGACACCAATTGGTATGTCACCATACAAGTTAGTGTTTGGGAAGTCCTGTCACCTACCTGTAGAACTTTAGCATAAAGCGCGGTGGGCACTGAAACAACTAAACTTAGACATGGAAGCTGCGGGCACGTCAAGAGTCACAGAATTGCATGAGCTCGAGGAGTTCAAGTATCTTGCTTTTGAGAGCACAAGGCTGTACAAAGAGAGAATGAAGAGGCTACACGATCAGAACATTGTTGAGCGAAATTTCAAACCTGGGGACATGGTATTGCTATACAACTCAAGACTGAGGTTGTTCCCGGGTAAGCTGAAGTCACGATGGTCTGGACCATTTCGAGTAGTTGAAGTTTTCCAGTCAGGAGCTGTTGACGTTGCCACTGAGAATGACTCTCGTACATTTAGAGTCAATGGTCAGAGATTGAAGTTGTATGTGGGTATGAGCGAGCCCAAGGAAGGGTCTGAACTACAGTTGACTGAACCACGGAGGTCGAGCGAGCCTTAACTGCACTCATCTGGGTCGTGCCGCGACGTTAAATCAGGTGCTGCATGGGAGGCAACCCATGAAATTGTTGTAAGTGTAACTCTTTTTTTAAAAAAAAAAGGCGTCAGAATCAGAGATGGGCTCAGACCGCGGTTCCACCGCGACCGCGGTCAAACCGCGATCCTGACCCTTCTTTGAACCCAGGCCATCGCGGTTGCACCGCGACCGTGGTAAAACCGCGGTCAAGAGGGCCATCTGAACTTGGTCTACCGCAGTCCTACTGAATGCATATTTACTATGGGAAATGCAGACATGCACTGGATATCGATTCTAAAGCTCACGATCCAAAATTCCATCATGATAGTGATGATACCTAACACAACACGCTAGGTAAACCAACAATCATAATCAACTGGAACAAGTCAAATATAGGATAAAGTACGGTCATGTTATAGATAAATAAGATAAATCTCACAACATTATCCAAAATAAAAAAAATACCACAATGATTCTCAAAATCCGGTAGTACGAAGCCATGAGCTTCTACGATAAATATACATTTGAGACGTGCAAATTACTATTTGAAACATATATAACTAGCATGAAAATGGAAGAAGATGACTTCAATGGCGGACGATCAGTCAGCACTACCTCAAGTCTCTTACGTCAGCTACTATGCACCCTCCTGAGGTCCACTCGAGCCAATGCCAGAATCTACAAAAAATATATATAAGTGTTGTATAAGTACAAGGACAATATGTACTTAGTAAGTATCAAGACTAACCTCGATGAAATAATAGTGAGGTTCAAGTCATATAATACTCGCTAACAAACAAACATGTACAGTTCATGCATATAATTAGCAAGACAAGAAATATAGATACAGTATCGTAGAACAGTGTATCATGACATAGCAAATTAACATGAATCACTTTATCTCGACTGTCAAGTCCAAAGCATATAACCGAGACATCAAGTAGCATGTTAGTAGATAAGCACAGAAGGCATATAGTATGCATGATATGGCATAAAGTATTCATTTGAATGGTCATAGCTTCCACTTTATGTCTAACTCATCATCCAACATCATTATAATCCGACACTCATCAGTGTCTCCCAAACTCCGTATATACGCCACCAAAAGAGAAATATGGGAAGGCGACTCTAGGGGGGATGGATCCATATCCACAAGTTGCACGACAAGGACTTCGTACCATAACAATATCAATATCACCATAACTGCACAGCAGAAACCTCATGCAACAACAACATCAATCCGCTCAAGACGTCCAAATGTGCCATAATCATATCAACCCAAAAGAAGTTCTTCACCACCAAGGATGAATGCATATGCTCATAAAATAACCAATAAGGTGCACATTATTAAGTATTATTTGGCTAGATTTGAGCCGCTTGGAGGTGATTTCTAAAGGAAAGGCGATTTTGGAGGGTTGATTTGACTTGTTAAGATAAGTATCTTGCCTAACCTTATTGCGAGGGAATAACACTTAGGATATGACCTTGTTTGCTTGGTTGTAATGTGTGGGAATTGGCATATATTCAAGGTGACGATCGTATATATGGGTGCTATATATGATTCATGGTCGAATTAGACTTTAGGATTTCTTTATGCCTTGTTTGGTTTTATGCCTTCTATGATGCATATTTTTAATCAATTATTTGACTACGTGAGCTTATCCTTTCATGCTAGTAACCTTGTATAGGATTACTACCTCTTACTTGGCCAAGATGGGCTATTCGAGAAATTATTGTTATACGTGATTTAGTCATAGCCATACTTCACATCGTGAGCACACATCCGCACTTATATTTATTATGTCCTCGTACACCTTATTGATTATTTGTGAGTATATGCTTCTTTAAAGATGAAATGTTATTTCGGATTGCTACGATTATGGAACATTTGGACATGTTGAACGAATTAATTTTGGATATGGCACTAGGTTTCTGTTGTGCGGTATAGTGATATTGTTATTATTGTGGCATGAGGTCTTTGTCGTGCAGTTATAGTGATATTGTTACTGTTATGGCATGAGATATCTATCGCGCATCGTGTAGATTTGGATCCATCCCCCTAGAGTCGCCCTCTTATGTTTCTCTCTTGATGGCGCACACGCAAATTGTGATAAATTGACAGATATTTGGTTGATTCTGATACAGGATCCGATTATGGTGAGTTTGAGCATAAATGTGGAAGCTTTGACCATTCAAGTGGATCGCTTATGCCTTATCATGCATTTTATATGCTTTCTATGTTGAATTCTAATATGTTACTTGAAGCCTCTGTTATGTGCTTTTGACTTATTAGTCGAGATAAATTTATCCACGATGAGTTGATATCTCTTGATATGACCTTTGACGATATTGTATTCTTGTCATAGTCTTGTTGTGAATAATTATGAACTGTATAGGTTTATTTGATTTGAGGTATCACATGACCTAAACATCGTCACTACTTCACCGAGGTTGGTCTTGATACTTACTGACACTTCTGCATATTTTTGTGCAGATCCGGGCATTGGCAAATATAGTGACGATCGCCACGCCTAATATTAGATTTTTACAATTCGATCAGAGAATATATTGCAAAAAAGAAAAAACTTAATTCACAACAATTTATCCGTTGAAGTATTATGAGTGTGTTTCCAAATCTTAACCTTTACCAAAATTCATGATTTTTACAAATTTTAAAGTGCATTGTCATGTTTGTCCACAACGGAAAGCTTGAGTGAGATCGTCAAATTTGTTCAATTTCTTGTAATTATCAAACGAATTAAAGAAGTGAATAAATAAATAAAGTAAATCGAACGAGTTAAAGGAGTAAATTGATTGGAGAAGATACGCCATGCACAAAAGGAGAGAGCTTCATTACTGAAGACAAAGGTAGTTATTCAATAGACAGTCTATTATTTAAAATAGAATGGCAAATTGCCGGAGAAGGAAATGACATTTCCTATCAGAAGGCATCATCGCTATTGCACCACAGGATTGTATTTCTTCTACTTTTTGATGGTTTTATATTTTTTCAAACCCTGAAACCATGACCAAAAAAGGGTCAAACAAATAAAAGGAACAACACGAAACAAACCATTTGAGTATATAAGGAAATACATCAAATAAAGAACATATATACTCAAGAGGTGCTTCCTTTAAAGAATTAATAATTGTCATATTTAACTTCCATTTGCCCCCTATATATAGATAATTAATTTGCTCGCTCTAGTTATAACGTGTAATAAACCAGAGTTTTAACATATAATTGGACACTTGACAAACATTCCACACACTACTCATTTAACATGTGACTCATGTACTATGTTGTGCGAATTCGTCAAAAATATGATGCACCCGTGTGGGATTCTCCAAAAAATAACACTAGTCTTGAAGGGGTCTGACACACACCCGACAATATTCTTGGAGAGTCTGAGCAACATAATTCATGACGAACAAGTAATACTCATGTAAAATGATAAGAGAATTGAAGCTTACTTGGAACAATAAACGTTAGGATCAATGGGAATAGTGCTAGTGAAGTTGCAAAGCTGAGGAAGTCTCTGAGCTTTCTGAATATCTATAGGGAAAGTTAGCGTAGCAGCTTTGAAACATTGGCACATAGCTTGACGATTTGGTTGGCAGGCAGCAGCATCTCTACTCAAATCTTGAAGTATAACACAACACTCTTGGCTTGGTGTTACACCTTGACTTAGCAAAAACCCTTCACAAGGGACTGCTTTTAGTATAAGATCAACACATTTAATTGTATCTGCTTTATTTTGGCTTAAAATTAGAGCCAATATTTGCACGTTTGTCATTTTTAATTCAAATTCAAAGGTTTGAGTTAAGGTGGAAGTCAATCTATATTGTTTCAAATGAGATGATCCTGGGATTTGGTGGGGTTAGAAATGTCTTTACTACTTTTGATTCTAACTTCCCAATGTTTCCTAATTAGTTTATTCCAAAACAAATGATAATTTGTTATATTCCGGAACAATTTAACTTTAATAATTATAGAAACATTGGCATATAAGTTCCAAAAGTCTTCATATTTCTTAAATTCCGTATTCAATCAACCATGCCACATAAATTAAAATGGAGGAAGTAATAATTTGGCCAAATACATATACAATCCATCCAACTTGGCACCATTTTTCATTTTGGCACTCTATCTCTACCTTGTTTCATTTTGGCCCTCCAACTCTATTTTATAGGTTCAACTTTGGCCCTCTAACTCTATTTCTTATGTTCCACTTTAACATAAAAGCTAAAACCAGTACAAAAAATATAGCCCGTTAAATCTGAGGTGTAATAAATATTCAATTAAATATTGCCACCTTGTTTTTTCATCCATGTCAAACGGGTCAATACTAAAATACTTGAACCCGGTCGTATTTTTCCATTCACTGTTGCCCCATCTTCATTCTGTAAGTTCCAAAACTTTCATCTGCCGATTTCGTAACTGGCCCGTTTAGATGAAATAAATCCACAAAAAATACGGTCCGGTTTAGATATTTTAGTATTGAACCGTTTAACATGGATGAAAAAATCAGATGGCAACATTTAATTGGATATTTATTACACCTCGGATTTAACGGGCTATATTTTTTGCACTGGTTTCAGGTTTTGTGTTAAAGTGGAACATAAGAAATAGAGTTGGAGGGCCAAAATGGAACATATAAAATAGAGTTGGAGGGTCAAAATGGAACAAAGTAGAGATAAAGTGTCAAAATGAAAAATGGTGCCAAGTTGGATGGGCTATAAATGTATTTGGCCTAATAATGTTGATGGATACTGTAACATGCATCCCTCCAGATTTGCGTTTGTACATTTATTAATTATGAGTTCTCTTGTAGTATAAGATGTTACATTCTTTCTATTTTGAAAGAAATATTTGAGAAAGACATGATAGGGAGAGGGTTAATTATTTTATATTGGTAATAGTGTATTTGAGAAAGCTTTGATATCGATTCCAGTATGTTTAGCCATTTATATGGGGAATCTTTAATGTATGGGGCAAGGCTGTTGTATGTCATATTCAACCATCATAAAAGAAAATAAAACTTAGACTTCATAATAATTATTTAACCTCGCAAGTGTCTAAATAGAAGTGTGATGCCAAAAAGATGCACACTCGTCCGACGCAGTAAATGTAAACGTATCACGTAAAATGATTCTCACTTAACATGTAAATGAACAAAAATGTTGTTAATAAAACAAATACAACTCTGTTATGAATAGTTTGTACATTGGATGTTACATTGGATGTTCATGTTGTAAATAATTTAAAGATTAAATCTCCTACTTTATGTCCATCATCTTTACTTTTTATGCCTATAAAA